AGTGCCCAGAGCATCTTCCTCCCACCCACAGCCTCTGCCAGCTGCTACCTCACGGGGAAAGCCCCAGCTCAAAGGCCATGTTCGAGGAAGATGCTGTGGAAAACACATACGTGACGCAGTGCTCGTTTCTGCTGGCTGGGAGCCAGGGGCAGGATTCCGGCTGAGCCGGCATGATGTCCACCAACTGGGCTGGCACCTTGGACATGGGGGTGCTGCCAGAAGAGCCCCTTCCCTAAAGGCAAAGCCCGTGCTCAAGACAGACACAACCCACTGGGTCTTGAACCAAGCAAGAGCTCTCACAGCCACTGGTGGGGCCCACCACCCTGACCCAGAGGAAGCCCCTCTGCTCAGAGTCAGGCTTGGTTGCAATGATGGGGATAGAGGAGAGGGGGAGGCTGGGCCCAGGGGTGCAGGGGCTGGCCTGAGGCTCAGAGATTGGGTTCAATCCCTTGCTGTGGCACCAGCTTCCCCCATGCCCTTGAGAAGGCCCATTCTTTGGGCCTGTTTCCCCACCCATAGAGCTGGGGATGACAACACTACCCAGAGCACAGCGGGGGGCTGAGGAGGGCTGCCGGGTGCTCAGCCCTGGGGAAGGGAGTCAGGAGTAGCCAAGATGGACAAGACCAGGGGGGTTGCCCTCTGTTCTTCTGCTTTAGGCACTGAGGGGCAAGAGAGAAGGTAAGACAGGTGGCAGGACCCTGGATTTCAGCCCAGACCCCCTCCCTGCAGTGCCCAGCTGGTCAGGAGCTGAGCGGTCCAGCAGTTCCCCCCCTAGACAGTGCCACGTGCTGGGATCCAGCATTCAAGATGCACATGTCTTGAACACTGAGCACAGTTCTGGTCCCCGCATCTCCAAAAGGAAGTAGTAGAACTAGGAAAGGTCTCGGGAAGGACCACCAGTAGGATCAGGCGCCTGGAGCAGTCAGCAGACCAGGAGAGACTAAAAAGGCTGGGACTCTTCCGTTTGGAGAGGAGAAGACTGAGGGGGACAGCACGGAGGTCTAGAACATCAAGATGGGTGCAGACCAAGTGAACAGGGAACTGTTGATCCCCAAGTCCTAGAATACTAGCACCAGGCAGCACCTGCTTCGATTAGGAGGTGACAGATTAAAAAAGAACAAGAAAAGAGACTTTTTAAGCAACGCGTTGTTAACCTGTGGAACTCGCGGCCACAGGAGGGGGTGGAGGCAGAGCGCAGAGCCAGGTGCAACAAGGGGCTAGGTGAATTCATGGCTGATCCATCTATTAAGGGCTGTTAAACAGAGCGGTGGGAGATGTTTCCTCCGGCACCTCTGAACCTACAGTGGTGAATTTCAGGGACAGTCTCAGGCAGGGGGCTGGACTGGAGGTCCCTTCCAGCCCGACTTCTCTAGAATCCTTCTCTGATTCTACTGAACATGGGAGAGATCACTCTAGAGACACCCAGTCCAACACTCTCCCCCTGTATCACCGTCCGCCCCGCCATGGTCACAGACGGCCAGGCTGCCGCTCTTACCCGAGTGCGTGCGGAGGTGGCCAGTGAGCGCGTCCCGCCGGCGGCAGGCATAGTTGCAGAAGGGGCATTTGAAGGGCTTCTCGCCGGAGTGGAGTTTGATGTGGCGCAGCAGGTTGCCCTTCTGCGTGAAGGAGGCGCCGCACTGGTTGCAGTGGAACGGTCTCTCGCCTGCAAGAGGGGCTGCGCATGAGGTCATGCTGAAAGCCCCCCACCCCACCCCGGGCACCCCCCAGCCCAGGCCCAACCCTGCTCACCCGTGTGGCTGCGCTTGTGCACCATGAGCACGTTGGGGCCGATGCACACCATGCCGCAGATGTCACACTTGAGCTTGCCGTTGGGTAGGCGGATGCCGCCGGGGGAGTGCGGCTCTTGCCCGCTGCCGTCGCAGTAGCCCAGGGGCTCTGAGAGCGAGTCCTCCACAATAACGCTGTCCTCCTTGTCCAGCAGCCGGTCATCCTGCACCAGCAGCCGGCTGGTCTCCTCATCGCTGTACATCTCCACCTTGATGGAGTTTGCTGCCAGGGAGGGAACACAAGTGTGAGTAAGGCTGGGGGGAGGCGGGGGGGAGAAGGTGGGGCATGCGCATGAAGAACAGGACCCCATCAGAAGCACACCTGACACCTCCTCTCCACTGTGGTAAGCAGTATGGGTACAAAAGGGTTAACTGGTCTGACAATTGGCCCCTGTAGGGACCCTCCCCCCCCCGCCACTATTTCCACAGGTGAATCTGGCAGGCTCAGCCTGCAGAACTTAAAGGGGTCCCATAAGTCACAGGGAAAAACCCCAGGCAGAGAAAGAACCAGCTGGGACGAGCAAGCCCCTTGCTGTCCTAAGCAGCCATCTGAGGGGACGGAGCGCAGCAGCGGGGAGGCTGAGCGCCAGGAGCAGAGCTTGCACCATGCATGTGCCTGGCTGATCACGCCTGGCCAGGCCGTGGGGCACAGGCCCTCAAAGAAGCAGATGTGGAAGAAATGCAGTGACAACTGCGGGCTACCTTTGCCACTGGGCAGGACCCAGGGCTGCCCATGGGGCAATTCATCTCCTCCCTACATTCAAGGGAGCTTAGCGCTGGAGGCGGTGAAGAGCAAGGCTCCAAGAGGCCACACAAGTGCCCAGAGGCTTGGAAGGAGCCCAAGCAGGAGGACGGAATGAGGGCCTGTCCTCCGGCAGCCGCAGGGGCAGGTACCACGGAGCCATTGAAAGCCGCCAGGAGGAGGGTGTGGGAAGGGCACATGGAAGGGCCTGACACTACAGGATGTCCACGGGGGCTGGAGCACAGGCGGATTCTAGCTGCCCCCAAGCACCCACCAGCAGCGTCCATGCATGCGTGGCGTGGCCTCCCAGCTCGCTCCCACAGCACAGGCGGCTGGGGCTGGGAAGCGGGAAGGAGCCGTGAGCTGTGACCTACATTCCCAGCTATTCCAGCGATCTGTGGAATGCTGGACAACACAAGCCCCGGGGGCACGGCAGCTGGACAGCCGCAGCGCCGGCCGCTTGTCAGAGCAAGGTGCCACCTCACACGGCCGAGAACACAGGGAATCCAGGCCCTGCTCTGGGGCTGCCCGGCCCCACCGCCACGGGGAGGGCAGTGCGAGGCACATGGGAGGCCTCCTAGCCCTGCGCCAGGGCTGTCCAGACGTGAGAGGGCAGGCAGTGGACAAGCTGCTCAGAAGTTAGCACGCTGCCCCGTCACAGTGATCCTAATGCCAAGTGTCTGTGGGCTGGGTGGGGGGGGCTCTACTGGGGGAACAAAACGTGGAAGCAGCTCTGTTGAGGTGTGGCAAGCCTCAAGGTGGAACCCAGGAGTCCTGGCTCTTTCATCCCTAAGAGGTGAGGCAGAGCAGGCAGAAAGGGATCAGAGCCTCATGCAGGGAAGACACTGATGTGGGCTATGCTTCCATTCACTCCCTGGCCCCAGGCACCCGTTTTCCCAGGCGGAGGTGGTTGCAGGGGGGGAGGGACGATGGCCATTGTTCCGCACCGCGGAGCTCAGCCTTGCCGGGGAGTGGGTTATATAACTGTCCTGCCCCTCGGGGGCCTGGTGCTTGGTGGATGAACCAGCTGTGCAGTCAGGTCAGATCAGAGGCAGGGCCGTCACTGGCGGCCTGCTGTTAAAGGGGAAGGGAGCTGTATTTCCCTGCCAGTCGGTCCAGGCGCCAAACTTGGGATGCTATGCCTGTCAGCTCTGCCCTGGGCAAGGCTTTACACAGGGGGTTTCTGTGACCCTCCCCATAGAAGAGTCGATCAGATACCCAGAGGAGAAGAGAAGAGCATGCAAAGCTAGCCGCCCCAGCACCCCAGTCCCCCCTGGGGTTTAGCCTGCCCTAGCTCAGCAACGGCCAGGGCCGGGGGCCAGTCGCCGTGTCAGGGCCATCTCAGGGCCAGCCACCAGGAAACCTGAGCCATGAAGCCAGAGGTGCAGCTGGCAGCTCTGCGTCGCCACCAGCCTCGCACAATGTGACCCTTCTTGGCATGACGTCACCATGATGCATTTTTGATGAGGTTTCATGGCCATGTCAGGGGGAATGGGCTGAACTTGGGCTACAAATGCCTGGAGAGTGTTTGGAGATCTGCCTGCTCTGGGTTTATTCACATCCACAATCTGGAGAGGGAAAGATTTGATCCCAGGCCCGGGGGAGAGCTGAACAGCATCAGGACCCGGCTGCTCTGTGATGGCAGAAGCACTGAGACCCTGCAGCTCTCTCTGCTGCTGTGGGTGCTGGTCCCCGGGCTGTGATCCCTGAGAGACAGCAGCAAGGCAGGGTCAGGACTGAGGGGGATGGGACCTGGGCTGGCTTGGAGAGAAGGCTGAAAGGTGAGAGTACAGGCCTGGCCTCAGGGCCCTGAGTCCCTTCTAGCCTAGAGCAGCCGAGTCTCCTCCACTGGGCCTGGCAGTAAAAGTCCACGCTGAACGGGGGGCGAGGCAGAGGGTGCCCTGCCATCCCGATTGCAGCCAGGGGCAGTGCCAACACTGCTGGCCCCAGTGCCCTCTGGAAGCAGCCCTGGGAGCTACTAACCCTCACCCTCTGCCTGCACTGCAGGGCCTGGAGGTCCTGGGCAAAGCAGATCGGCATGGCTGTCCCAGAGCTTGGCATGGCTAAAACACACACTCCCGCAGAAAACCCAGGCATCCAGGACACATGCACACTCTCCACCCCTTGCCAAGTGCACTGATCCAGCCCAGCCCCACCAGGCTCTGATGGAAGAGGAGCAGGAGGTGTCCCTACAGCCAGGACCACTCCTGTTAAGGAAGCAGCAACCCGCCAGCCTTTCCCCGCTCCTAGCAGAAGTCGGCTTGTCCAGCACCGGCTGCTGGGGCTCTTGGGAATCACATACGCGGTACCTACTTGGGGAGTGAGTGCACCAGGGCAGGCACGTCTCCTGCAGGGCACAGTGCACAGTGCACACCAGGCCACAGCCAGAGCTGCCCCACTGGGAGCTGGTTAGTGGGGGACTCCAGGCCAGGCTCAGAGCAGGGGGCAGTACTCACCACTCAGGGAACGGCTGGGGGACGAGTGCTGGCTGTTGGGGGTGCTGACCGTGGGTCCCACAATTGCTGAGCCGAACTCCTTCTCCAGAGAGGAATCCCCGCTACCTTTGGGAACGAGAAGCAGGAAGACGGGTGAGCCGGGCTGGAGCCAGTCCCTGGTGTAGCCCACAGAGCCTGGGGAGGGGACACCGCAACCTCAGACTGGGTGCTGGCGTGAGCTGCAGCCACTCCCACCCCATGGGGCTGCCAGGGAGTGAGAGCGCACTGAATCAAGGGGTAGGAAGCCCCTGGTCCCTGACCCACAGAGAGCTCCATGCCTCTGGAAGGATGATCTGAGGCATGGTCGTGAAGCAGGCTCCCAGGTGTGTGGCCCCCACCTTGACATGCATTTGGGGGCAGCGTGCTTCCAGCCCAGGGCTGCAGGGCACTCAAGGAGGGCTGCTCTGCTCTCTGGAGGAAGCCAGTGCCCAGCCCCATTGTGGCCTTGTCCAGCCGTGGGGCATGGCAGGCTCGGGAAGGGCCAGGGTTAACTGACTGCACGCCACCATCCAGAGCCAGCTGGGCTCCTCGCCCTTGGCCAGACCCATTGTCCACGTCTCCTCCAGGCTCAAACATGCATGGGGTGGCTCCTGCTCTTCCCAAGTTGCAGGGCCCTGCCTGCGTGTATGTGGGGAAGTGCTGCTGGTGGGAACTACTTCCCATGCCCCGAGGTGATGCAGCACTTCCCAACCCCCTTCCCTTTCCCCTCACAGGGCAGCTGCCCACCTGCTCCTCCCTCCCCCTGTAGCTGCTCCATCAGCTGCCGCCAGAGTCCCGCAAAACCTCTGTGCACTCCCAGAGCTACACACCCCGCAAGTGGGCACTTGCTCTCAGCGAGGAGAGGTCACAAAAACACGTTTCAAACAAGGAGACACGGTGCACACCACCAGGCCAGGGCTGTGCGCAGGGGCCAGGGCAGGCACCTGGAGCTGCAACCTGAGAGCTGTCCTGGGTAGGCTGGAAGGGGGTAACCCAAGCTACCCGCAAGGGTCTGGGCACCCAGCGCCCATTCCACTGTGCCCTTCCGCAGCAGGGCTCCCGTCTGAAGTGGGCAGGTCTCTGCATCTCCCTCCCTGGGGGATTTTTTCTGTGAGGCAGCCCCACGCGCCCCCTTCCCCACGACGCACGAAGGATCAGAAACAGCACAGGGCTCTTCCAGAACTCCCCCCACCACCACCACCCGCCCCCGACATCTCACTTCCATTATTCTACCTTGCTGAAGAGCCCCTGGAGTGTTATCACAGCCAACTCCTTGGAAACAGCCCTGGCATCCAGGCTGCGCGTGCATGTCTGTGCTGTGCTGCGCCAGGAGGGCGAGCACAGCCACTCACCTTCCAGGAAGAACAGATTCCTGGAAGTGAGAGAAGCGGCCGTCATTTCACAGCCAGGCAGCACGGCACCGAGAGCAGGAATCCAGGACTGCAGCATCCCCTTAGCGGAGCTGCTGCCTCGCTCCTCTCCGGCTGCACAAGGAGTGGGGGGGCTGGAGCACTGGGCCTGGGGCTGCTGTGTGTGTGGGGGGGAGCCATGGTGGCAGTAGCCGGCCCCTTGCAGAGAAGGGTTGCGGCTCGAGTACAGGGTGTCTGAAGCCCAACAGGGGGTGGGAGGTGTCACAGCAGCCACCATTAGTGACGGCCCTGTGGCGGAGCCCGCTGCAGACAGAGCCGGTTGTCACTGAGCAAACTCCCCTGGAAGACAAGTACTCCCCCTGCCTCCATTGGGGTCCTCCCCCCGCTGACGGGTCATTGGGAAGCAGGCCCTGCTCCCTCACAGGGTTGGGACCAGCCGGCATCTGGAGCCCAGGTTTGCTGGGCTATGGGGATACTGTCAGTGCAAAGCAGCCACCCGCCACAACCCACCCCCTTACCCTACCTGCAGCCCCTCCATGCTGGCTGCAAGCCTAAGCCTGCCTTTCCTGGGCCCTTTCTGCTGAAGGATCCCAGAGATCCTCTGCTGTGCCTGGCAGAGCCAGAGAAGGGTGCGCTGTGCTCTGGCTAAGGACAGCAACTTGAGGGAGAGAGGCTGCAGGGTCCGGGGGGGAGGCAGATACGTCCCCGGCCCTCCAGCCCAGAACCCGCCAGCCCTACAGAACAGCTGGAGGCTGCTGCTGGGACTTGACCTTTGCCTGGGAGCCTGAGCCACCCCTCCGGAGCAACTCAGGCAAGGCAGCATTAACCCTTTCTTTCCAGCCTCGAGGGCAGGCCCTGGGAAGCCACCTGCACTCATTGAACAGGCCCAGAGCCTCATGCAACAGAGCAGCAGGTTTCCTATCAGGGATGCCCAAGGGAACCAGAGTGCCAGCCTGCTCCTCCGTCTCTCCGGGGTGAGTTGGGGGAAGGGAGCGGGGAGGGGTCCTCAATGGTCTCTCTAGGTTTGATTCCTATAACCACCCAGACTCCAGCCACTGGCAGCCCCAGGGAATGTGTCTCTGACTCTCTGTGCCTGGGGCGCAGGGACATCACACACATCATTCAGCCTCATGCACCGTTTCAGAGAGCCCAACGCACCAGGCCGGCTGGGATGCATGCCAAGCAGAAGAAGCAATGCTGTGCTCAGCCCTAGTAACTCTGGGCCCAGCACCTGGGAATATGGGGGTCACAGATGGGCAGCTACACTGCTATTGCAGTGATAAGGGACAAGAGCTTCACCATCAATATAGTCTGAGGCCAGGCTGCCTCCAGGAGCTGACACCTGCCTCCTGCTTGTAGCTCAGGACCCAAGAGTTCGAGCGCTCTGGGGCTCACCTGGGAGAGCAAAGCAGCATGAGGCAGGCCTGGCGCTAGAGTGACCAGCCAGGCAGGGAGAATGCAGGCCTGAATGGAGCCTGCAAAGCCGCTGCTCCTGGAAAGCACCCACCACAGCAGGACACAGCTACTGCAGGACCCAGCTGCTGCTACTTGTGGAACCAGGTGTCCCGGCACGCGAGCAATATCCTGGCAGCCAGCGGTGCCCGGAGAGAAACCCAACACATGCAGCCTCCAGCGAATGGAGGAAAACTACTGGGGAAGAGACAGGCCCCCTCAGGCCACCCCCTAGTTATAACAGCCCCAGCCGTGCCCCACATTTGAACGAATGTACTTCACTTCTGACCCCTGTCCTGCTCTGGCGCCTTCAGCCCCCATGGCTCTGCGAGTCCACCTTCATCTATAGCCCAAATGTGGAGCCATCCCCTAGCCCATGACACGCGACTGCAACGTTTCCTCTCGCCTGTATCACCTGCAAGTCTACGGGCAGCTTGGGGCTTTCCCTTGAGTGGGGATTGACAGCTTGGAACTGGGCGACACCATTACAGCACAGACACACGTATCCCCTGGAAATCGCTTCCAACCCCTGGGGGTAGAAGCCAGGTTCCTAAGCAGCCGGTGATCAATCCCTAATGGGATAAGGGATAGTAAGGTCTCTGCCCCAGGGCAGTTTGCATCTAAATGGGCCTCCGTGGTATCAGCAGTTCTGAGGCTACAAACCACCACGGCGAGAGCTCCCCCCTTCCCATTTCCCAGGGGAGCAGTTCCACCATTTAAACCCCAAACTCACCACAGCTTTAAGCCAGAGCTCTGTAATATGCAACTACGGAGGCATTTGGCATATGACAGCATTTAGCATACGGGGGCAATATGCAACTATGGGTGCATTTAGCATATGGGGCACCTGACATCATCCCTTGGGGGACCTGAACTATCACTGGTGTTTGCTAGTGTGGCATCTCTTCCTGTGCAGAGGTAAGGAGTCTTGGAGGAAGGAGAATCTGTGTGGTATTATCATAGCCAGGATATATATCATAGCCAACCCATCTTTCCCTCAGAGCCTGGAGATCCTGCCAAGTGTCACTGGAAGGAGATGGTTTCCCTTTGCTTTGCAGGCAGGTCCCAGATCTGGCCTGGGATCCAGGTGACCTGGATGTGGCCTCAAGACCAAACCCCAAACACTCGTACTGGAGGTAAACCCGCTCCTTGAAACAAGGAACACTGTGTGCTGGTATTAATAACTGGAGAATGTTATGAGGGCAGTGACCCTCTACCTGGGATCTCTCCAGCGAATATTAACAACCTTTTACAGAAGCAGGATGCCAGTCATCGTGGTCCCCCTGCTTTCCCTGTGGCGGGTCTTGTGCTGTGCCAGGGCTGACTGTAGCTTTACTAAGAGTTTAGTTTATGGATTTGTCTGGGCTGGTTTGGACAAGGCTGATCCTGCCTCAAGCAGGGGGTTGGACTAGATATGGCCTCTGGAGGTCCCTTCCAGCTCCGCTTCTCTAGGATTTTTATGACTAACACGGCACAGTAGGAAACAACCCACCTCCCCATCATGTTCAGAGCCTGGAGTATGGCCTGGCAGGAAAGCGATTTAACAGGCACCAGCGTTAGACCTTCAGCCAGGCGTCAGGCAGCACAGGGCGGCCTTCGGATACCGCGGTCCGAAACATAGGAGGAAAGAAACAGAAACGTACCGGATATGTAAGAACGTCCATTACAGTCTTCTATATCCATCTTTGAGGGGCTGAGCTGGAAGGCAAGCAGAGCTCAGTCAGGAGGCTGCGGTTTTGTTTCCAGATTCCACGCTACAAAAACCAGCCTGGCCTGGCAGCATCCCACAGGAAAGGAATTACTTACCTGGCCTTAGTTTGTTTAATGCAGCACTGATCTTGACACCAACCTGCTGACCCGAGGGGCCCCCCACCCTGGCTCAGCTTGTGCCCCCACCTCCACCACTGGGCAGCAAGAGCCTGTTTTAGCAATGACCGGCACAGAGCAGTTCGCACCGCAAGGTTTGGGCAGCTCGCAGGGTGCTGCGTCTAAGTAGCTCGTACCTGCCTCTGCCATTGCAGCTCCGACCCAGGCACAGGGTCCCGGACTGGCATTAGCACCTACAAGTCAAATTCACACTGCGGCAAATGGGAGGAGAGGGAAGAAAAGCAGCTGGAGATCCACTGGGGTAGCTGAGGAAGCAACGCCTGATCCAAACTGCCCGGGCCCAGAAGGACAACCAGCCACAGGCCGCTGCTGTGGGTGGTAAGGCAGAACTGCAGCTGTGCAGACAACTCCTGGACCTGTTGTGCCCCTTGACCACAGGGCGCCATCCCCCAAACGCCAATGCTGGGATATCTGGTGGGCAGGCGAGTCGTGCCGCGCTGAGGCTTGTAACTTGATTTTATCAATGAAAAAGAATCACTCGTCGGGCAACGAGACCGAACGCGAGCACCGCGCTCCCCCCAGCAGCAGCCATTCCCGAGATCCCGCCAGCAGAGACACAAAATCCGCCTTGCGCTTTGCCGCCTGGCGCCCCGCGGAGATAATGAACGTTTTATACATTCAAATGGGCTTTTTATTTGTCAATTACATTTGCTGTTTAAGAAACAAAACGCGCACGGGCTTCGAAACGCGACGTTCGCTGCTTGGGATTCATGCCGTCGCTGGCAGCCAGCGTGCTCCGCTGCGGGGAGGGTTTGCTGCGGAGAGCAATTAAAAGAAGTGATAATTTGTGGAGATGAACCAGCTCCTCGCGGAGGAGATCAAACGCGGTTTGCAAAATGTGAACACGAGAAGCAGTGGCAGTAACTTTTCGTCCGCTCCCTTTCCTCGCCGCTGAACTCTCATACGGGCTCGATAGAGAAAGGATCTGAGTTGTGGCCCTCTCTGGGAACTTCTGCTTTAAACAAGATTTTTTTTTTTTTTAAAAGACGGCTTATTGAATGGACAAATAAATAGTCTTTGTCTCACTGGTGGCAGGATGCAGCATGACAAACCCAGCAGTGGACAGCATATCAGTCAGCGTCTATTAACCTGCTCAATCTAACTACATACTTGGTTTTAATTTTTAACCCCCCACTGTGCTGAATTGAAAAGTGAACGTAGGGATGAGTTGGCTTTGACGAGACGGCATCTCATTACCAGGTCAACTGTTGAAATCAAGTTCGGGTCAGCAGCAACTCCTGGATGCAGTCACCTCCCGGGGCTGCTTGCCAGGCTGGGGAAGATGAGCTGGCAGGTCTCAGCCCATTTCACAGTCAGGCAAGTACCTTTCTTACCAAATTCTATAGTTAATTGCTAGAAACAAATGAACAGTCAAAACCCCCCACATGCCTGGGCTCTGCCGTCTGCCCTCGTCACACTGACAAGGCCAAGGGCTGGTTATAGACGGTGGCTGTGCCGTCAGGACAGCAGGTCTGCTGGGCCTCCGTCCGGGCTGACAAGCAGAGGGAAAGCAGAGAGCTCCAGAATGTCCCTTCCTGTCCCAGGGTAGCCGTTAACCTGGCAAGATGGAAATACTTTAGGTTGAAATATATATCCCAGGGTCTGTGGGGACTGTGGTTTGAAATGTATCTGGCTGCTTCGTGGGTGCGGAGCCCATAATTTAGCTTTTGATTGCACTGTGCACGGCTGGAGATGCAGGCTCTGCACGGAGGGCTCCTGGTGTGCTGGGAGAAGACGATTATGCTCAGCAACCCTCATCTCTCGTGCGTGGCTGGAAAGCTCCTGGGACCTGCCCCATCCCCGGTGTGTTGGCCACAGCACTGACGGTTCGGATCAATGCTGCAGGTGGGGGGCTGGCCTAGGAGGACTGGCTTGCACGCAGAGTAAGCAGCTGGTCATTACAGTGTGGGGAACCAGCTGGGGACTCTGTCCAGCTGATGACTGGATATCTGCCCTGTCTGCCATGGAGGGACCAAGTGCAAGGAGACCCCAGCCCGGCGTGAAGGTTCTCTCTGCCCTGTGCCAGTGATGGCATGGTGAAGCCACGAAGCACAGATGATGGCTGTGGGAGCCTGACCACGCACCCAGGAGCCCCGCGGGCCTTGAGGAAGGATGGGCTGTAACAAGGAATCTTGGCTAGGAATGCAAACAAAGCCAGGCTGCTCATTTAAAGAGCCTTTCTTCCCTCGTGATGGAAACATGAATATCTACGCTGACAAACCTGAGGGCTCGAGCCCAGCCCCGGCCCATCCACAGAACCAGGGTGCTCTAAAGCATGGTGAGCAGCATGATAACAGAGACCTGAAACAGCTCAGTAGCCGGGGACCCCCACCCAGGACAGCAACATGTCTGCATTGAGAACGGGACCTCCTGTCCCCATGCCCTGAATGGACGCGCAGCACCTACCAGCCCTACCACCCCAGGCTGGCCCGTGTGATGGACAGGGAGGGGGGAGCTTGGCTCAGAGAACTGGATTGATCCCTGCTCTTCTCCTGAGCGTCTCAGTGGAACTTGTTTTATCCACAACAGACACAAGAGCCTCTTTGGCTTACGAGACCTTGCCTGAAAGCTCCGGAGGCAATGGCATGCAACCTACTTTGCCTCCCTGGGGAGGCCAGCACCCACCTGGGGGAGTGAGGGGGAGGGGAACCCAAGTGTACAGGGCTGGTAACTGGTTCTCACTCCTGCTGGCTTGAGCCAATCCATCCTGGCTGTGAGCAAGGCAGAGACCTGTCCACGATGCACCTGGCTTGCAGATGTGCACTGCCTCCAGGGTCTGCTATGAAGGGGTCAGCCTAAACTCTGCTGCTCTGAATTTCTTCCCATGACTCCTAGTTCTACCCTGCAGGCTGCAAAACGGGGCTTGCATTTAACCATCCTAGCACCAGTCGCTAAACCCACAGCTGACTCAGGAGGAGAATGCTACGCTCTAGCTTAACAAGACGGGAGGAGCTGCAATGCTATCGGGGCGCCAACGTGGAAGCCTCCCCTCGTTTGAAGCTACATACCTTCCGTCAGGCTCAGCAGAGTGACAGGCCGTGAAGAACGAAACTCTCTCAACTTCACTAGATCCCCAAGACTGTCCCACAGAGTGGATCTGTATGGGGCACTTCGTTAGAAACAGCCCGGGCTTTGTGGTCCCTTCCAGCTCTACTTCTCTCTGATTTCTAGGGTGATTTTTCCAGGGGTCTCAACTCCCAGCCTGGAAGGCACTGGCCAGACCGGTGTTCCCTGAAATGGGGGCTAGGATGAAGATGTGGCTCCTGGGGGAGCCGTGAGAACACCTCCCTGAAGCGCTAGTGGTGCAAGGACAATCAAGAGCCAAAACAGATGCACCAGGCAGTGAGACGCACCCTGCTCCAGAGAGTCCACTAAGGAGGGAGCTATCTGTGCCGGTGACAGCTCGGGCCAGGCCAGGCTCTGCCAGCTGAAAGAGGCTGTGCATTCACTTACTCCTGACAGGAGCAGAGACTGCAGGTACTCATAAGGTCCAGGGGGCCAGAAACACGTGCTCTTCATCCTCCCACCCAGGCGGACAGAGCTGACCTGGACTGAGCTGCTCTAGCAACTGTTGGGGTTCACACACCTCTGCTGGTGATGTAGGAAATGTCTTGCGGATGCCTGAGCATGGGCCCCACTCCATGCCGGGGATGAAGGGGTGGCTGATCCCACCCCTGGGGGCTGCTCGTGTTTAGTTGGAAGTCTAGGCACCAAAATACAGGGGATTTCCAGACACTGGTCTAGCTCCCAGAGGGCTGGAGCAGGAGGTACCCATAAATCACCCTAGCAAGGTGGATGGATCCCGAGTGAAAGAGGCAGCGGAAACCTTTGTCCCACCTCCAGCTTCAGCTAAGATTCATCTTCTCTCTCCTGCCTATAGCGCCTCAGCATTTCTCTCCCCCCTCAGCAGTCATTAACCTCCACCCTGGGACGCAGCGGGTAGAAGAGACACTACATCAGACAGCTGCAACACAAGAGCTAGAAGGTCCTGCGTTAAAAAGCAGCAGCAACCAACTAAACCTTTAAATGCCAGCCAGTAATATGCACTGGGTACAACCATTCTGGTTTTTAAATCAAGCCCAGGTAGTGCCTGCGCCTGCCGGGAGACACTGGAGCATTTAAGTGCTTTCAACTGCAGGCAAGAGGGAGAAATGCGAGGTCTCCAAACCTGAAAATACAAATCCAATCAAATGAAAATACCTCTGGGTTCACTGCTGAATGTAGCTCAACAGCAACAGGCTTTGCCTCCTCCCAGGAGGGGAATTGCAGAGGGAAAAGGACCAAGTTCTCCACTAGGGATGTTTCTTATTCAACTTAGTTTTTATTTTACGTATGATATGAATGGGGAAGGGATGCCTTAAGCTGCCTTTGACTCTCTCAGGGCAGCAGTGGGTGCCTGGCAGGTTTGGGATGGTTTGCTTTCCTCAACCAAGAGGAATTTAGCTTGTTCTTTATGATCCTTAAAAAATACTTTATAGTAACAGTCACAGCCACAAAGCCCAAGAGCCACAGAAACAAGTAGGCAGGATTCGTTTCCCCATCAAATGGTTTAAAGCATTATTCACTGGGTGAGGGTCTATAGATCTCTAGCATCACAGGCGGGGGGTGGGGCGGGGAGCTTTCCCTGAAGGAGTCACTGCCGTAACTTTAGTGCAGGCTAAGAAGTTTCAGCCAGTTTTCTAGGCTGCCGCCAAATCTTCCATCGAAACAAGGGACACAAGATGTGACCACCACCAAACTCCTGACCCCCCTGGATTGTTTGCAAGATAAAAGGGGGGGTGGACCCCCCCAATCATTTGCAAGCTGAAAGGGGGGGGGGCAGGAGACAGAGGCACACAGTTTTGTTCCTGTGCAGGTCAATTTTATGCGATTAAACTCTCTCCAGGAATGAGAGGTCCAGGTAGTGCTCTGAACTATATCCCCAATGTCACATTAGGCTTTAAGCTCCCAGGGAAATGCCAGTGTAGCAGACAGAGCACAGGTCTTCAATGATGCCGCACTTGGCTCCTGCTGCTAGCGGCCACCAATCCAGACTGGCTGCAGGTGAGCGACTTCACCTCCCACGGGGTAAGTTCTCCGTCTACAAGGTGGAGACAGAGTTGGAGATGCCCGCTGCACTTGGCATTCAGAGGACTGGCTACTGGGTACTGTGTACAAGGTAGGACATGAAACGGGAGATCATAAGTGATCACAGCACAGTGCCGGTACCATGGGACGGCATCACATGAAAGGCTCCTCAGACTTTCCCCCAGTGGCTTGCCAAGAGAACTCCAAACCGTTGTTTCACTTGGGTGAGGGGCACAGTGCCAGTAGCACCCCTGGGACACCCTCAGCACTCATGGAAAGAAGCAAAGCCCAGAGTCAATGCCGCAACACACTTCATTTCTCCTGACAAGGTGCTGCCCAAAGCTGGCACCGGATGACCTCTCCCCCTCCTCTTGGGGCAGTTCAGTGCGCTGGCCTGCTCGGGGCAGGGAAAACGGTGGTTTGAAAGCCAACCCCTTTTCCCGTGTGTCTGCACTCCTTGGGCTTGGACAGCGATGGAGTCATGCCCAGAGGGCCACGTCCCCCAAAGGAGCATATTTGCACTAGGGAGCTTTGCCACGGGCTGCTCTGCTCCCAGCACCAATGGAGGGAGCCCCAGCCTCAGCCGGTGCCAAGAGCAGCAGCTGCAATCCCGTGCTGATGAGACAGCGGGGCCTAGTGGGTGGAGCCCTGGAGTCTGACTTGGGAGACTTGCTTAGCTGATCACTGAGCCCATTAGCCTTTCAAGGGAGCCTGGGTGATTGCCTCAGCTCTGCACGTTGTGGACAGCACTTCGTATCCACAGACAAACTTTACATGAGGACCATCAGACAAGCATTGCTGCCTGCTGAGTGCCACAGGAACCAGTGCAGCATGTGTGGCAGGACTGCAGCCGTAATGAGAGGCTCAACATCTCCGCTGGCAGACTGCGATTCAGTACAAGCTGGAAGGCCCCTGCTGCTGCTGCTCCCGGCCCGCTCTTTCCATCTGTGCCCGCACAGTTTCCAACACGAGGGCTTTTTTCCACCACAGCTGCAGGCATATGCCACCGAGGGACCCAGCCGGAGGCTGAGAGGAGCGCGCGCGTCATCGCAAATGCTCTGGAAAGCAGCTCCGGGCAAAGTCTTCTTGTCTTTTAAAAAGTTTCGTTTCCATCAGTGCCGCGAGTGCCCAGGCGCCGGTCTCAGAGGCACCCGTGGGGGTGCGATGCCGCTGACAGGCAGAGCTGAATGTGGCCTCATGAATGGAAAACCCCCTCGTGAACCAGTGATGCTGATGCAAAGCGAGCGACAGCAGACTTTGGGTGCCGTCACCTGGGCTGAGCCCTTCAGTCCTACCCACTGCAGCCTGGCCCTGGTCACAGGGTCCTGCCATGTGCCGGGAAATGCTCTACGGTGCAATGGGAAAAAAACACATTCCAGGCAACAGCCCACCCAGAGCAACTCCAGGCTGAGCCAGGAAGGGCCCAAGGGTCTCTTGGGGGCTCAGCAAGAAGTCCGTGTCTCGAGGAGGTGTTGCTGCCTGGTGTCAGTTGGACAAACCTGATAAACCACAGCCCTTTTCTGTTACCACAGCCTGAATCCGTACACCAAAGAGCGGACCAGGGCCTTGTCACAGCAAAGCACCAGCCTCTCTGGTGCTGCTCGAGGCCCCGGTGACAGCTGGTGCTTGCACACAGCAGCAGCAGAAGGGGGAAGTTTTCATGCAGCATCCAGTGCCAGACTCACCAGCTCAGCAGAGCAGGCTCGAAGGCCAGAGTCCTGGCTCTGGACCGCAGCAAGTGGCCGTGGGCATCCTGGTCACAATGCCACACTCCCCAGCCCCTCTCCAAACTAGAGCTGCTCCCCCTTCTCCTCCAGCCAAGGAGCAGGCAGTGACAGTGGTTACTCTGGGATGGTGCCTTGTGCCTTCTCCATGAGCAGCAGGGGACCAATGTTCCACCGATGCTTCCCCGCCGCTGTCGCTCTGGGCCTGGGCAGGGGCCCCCGGCTAAGCCACTTCCAAGCTCCCCTCGCTTGCCTGAGAGCAGCATCTGGTCCAAGAGCTCCACATGACCTGCCCTGCCCTTCTCCTACGAGCACGGCTGGGCACGGAGGATCCTCCAGGTGCTGCCTGTGACGGGGAGAGAAGAAAGCCCCTCCGTGAGCGCTGCCGGCGCCAGGCCCACATGCACACAGGCTGGCCAGGCAAGTTGTGCTGCCAGAGGCGGTTGTCCGGCTCTGGCGAGGTGAAGCTCTGTCTGTGCGGGAGGCTGAGGGTTCTGCTCTGCCCAGGCCTCCTCCAGCTGCAAGACGCACGAGGACAGCGGAGCAGGCGCCTCGAACCGTCAAGCGGATGCTTCACACAATTCCCCCGCTCCCGTGCATCAGTCACACAGGCAAGAACAGTCCAGAGATGAATCTGCTGCCCTGGGCTGAGGGCTTGTGCCTGCCCCAGCTCCCACACCACGCTGGATCTCACGACGTCACCGAACACTGCCGTGCCCAACTGCCCCCGTGCAAGAACCCCAAACTCTGCCCTCTCAGAGGCTGGAAAGAAGCACACACAGACTCAGAGGCACTTGCATCTGGGGACCAATGGACCGAAGACGCACGGCGCCATGAAAGGAACCCCCTCGGCCCCCGCTGTGCTCCAGGCAGCGCCACAAAGCTCTGGGCAGGAAACCTGCATCTACAGCCCCGGCCACAAGGGAAGGAGGTGCAGCGCGCAGGCTGATCACACCTGCAGCCCCCCCCGCCTGGCTGGGCACGGATTTGGTTTCACAATCACACCACCCGGAGCCGGCCGCTGTGGCGCGGGTTTGCACGGGCAGCCCCAGGAAGGGGGTTCCTCCTCCATGGGACTGAGAAGACGCTGAAGTCTTCCCAGGACGTGAGCCCCTCAGGCAGCCTGACAGCGAGAAAGGGGGAGTCGTCGCCCCCCCCCCCTCCGCCGGCCCAGAAATTAGAAACTTTGGCTGCAAAACGAGCCGGCAGGCCCCTCTCAGGCAGCCCCGGAGCCAGGCTCAGAGCCAGGGGCCGGGCTTGGTGCCCACTGCCCACGCCGGCCTGGGGCAGAGCGGGGCGGGGGGGCTCCGCCAGGGCAGGAGGGGCCATGCACTGAAGCCCAGGGCCCGGCTGCACAGAGAGAGGGCAGGGGTGTGCAGGGGGGCGGGGGAGCAGCCCCTGCACCTCTAGGAGGAGTAAAGGGGACCTTAAAATGCCCCCGCCCGTGGCCCCTCCCCA